CTAAATCTCTCTACACTTCCTTTGAGGTCAGAGACACTTTTATTAACACTATAACTTAAAAGTTATCTTTATTGAGATTGCATTTATTTAAAAAACAATTCCATTTACCATTGTTTTCATCTGGCTGATACAAAAATGTAAATGAAAGCTTTTGTGAAAAGTTTCTTAAAATAACTGTTACATGATTAGGAATGAATTCTCGATGAACCCCAATTAACTGTATAATACATCTAGTTTTAACCTAGAGTGGGTTCCACACTCGGATAATTACCTATATGTAAAATAATATCACTGAACTACAGGGATAATTTATTATAGAAATAATTACCTTGTGACCCAAGATCATTAAGCACTTTTATATATCTTAGTGTAAGGAGGACAATTTATGCAGTAAATATAACAAATGTAGAAACTGTATCATTATTAAGGAATCAACTAAATGCACCTTACATAATTAAGAAAGTGTAGTGTAGTACAAAGCTGAATTTTAAATCCCTTAATAGTTTTGAGTAAATAATGATGTCCTAATGGGTGAAATTAGAATATTAAAGATTATCAGAATGCTCATTTGTTTGTTGTTTAAAAAAATCCATGAAGAAGTAGAAGGAATTATTTAAATGCTACTGAAAAATAAGATTTTAGTCATCACAATTAATTGGAACTCTATTACTCTTTCAACAAATATTTGTGATCATTTATTATATATATGGTACTGTGTATGAAATCTACGTAAAATATTAAAAAATCTGATAACGAGATTCCTTTGTTGTGATTGGTGATGGAAAAACTACGTGGGTGACACTGAGGCATATAGCAAAAAATGAATGTGACATACTGGATGGAGTGGAAAGATTCAGGGGCAGCTACGCATAAAATTGGTCTTCTCTGATGGCTTCACCTACAATGCAGGAGACGTGGGTTCGATCCCTGGGTTGGGAAGATCCCCTGGAGGAGGGCATGGCAACTCACTCCAGTATTCTGGCCTGGGAAATCCCATGGACAGAGGAGTCTGGCGGGCTGCAGTTCATGGGATCACAAATAGTCAGATATGACTGAGCACACATGCATAAAATTGGTGGGAGATACATTTTATACCATAGGGAGGAATTTGTGTTTTATTGTGGAGACAACTGGAGCTATAGGGAACTCAAGCCAAGAGAGTCAGCATAAAAGCAACATTTTAGGCACATTAATTGAAGGCAGATTAATCAGAAAGCAGAGGGGCAAATCTGGCCACAAGGAGGTACATGGCTTAAGGCATGGTGTTGACAGAATGCTTGGAAAATGGCTAAAATGATGGCACTTGCCCAATAATATCATGTAATAATAATAATAATTAAGGAAAAAGTAAAGGACAGAAATGGAGAAGTCAGACAGTAAATTCTGTTTTGAAGAAGATGAAAAGTCAATTTTCTGTTACGTTTAGTAAGCTTCAGAGGATGTACTATTGGGGGAAGAAATTTCATAATAAGCATCTCTACCTTCTCTACCAACCATCATCTTCACTATCATCACTACCTCAATTACCACCATCATTTCCACCACTGCCTCTACCTCCATAGCATTAGCATAAGCAAGCAAGACCACTAGCTATGGCACTTGTTGAATTCTTACTACCTTACAGGCAACTGTATTAAATGCTTCTCACTTAATCCTCACAGTCAGTGTTCACTAAAGTGAGGATATTGAATCTGAGGCACAGATATTAGATAATTTGCTGGAATCATAAGCTAGTGATTAAAACAGGCAGATTTCAAACCTGAGTAATCCTGATTCCAAAGTCCATGATTTTTCCAATATTTGCTACTTCTTTAGGCATGCAGACAAATGAGTTATAATAACTAAAATATGTGTGCAATGTCTGAGTAACTAGGTGTGGGTAATTGGAGGCAACAAATGTTTGCAATTGATAAAAACTGAAGCACTGCTTGGATGCAGTAGTAGAAGCACCCAGATCATAGATTTAAAGATAGAAAGTAAAATCTGAGGGAAAGAGTCAGATATGAAGCTATAAAATTTGGGAATCATTCATTGAGAATCAGACTTGAATCATCGAGAGGGAGTAATTCAGATAAAGAAGTCAGAAGGGCAAAAAGATTTGAATTTATGAGATACTACCATAAGAACTAGGCAAAAGGAAGAAAAGGAAGAAGACAAGTCAGGTAAAGAATAGTAGGGGTAGAACAGTAGTGTGTCAAAGAAGTTGAAAAAAGAGATCTTTTTTTTTTTTTCAATCAGCATTCAATAGGTTGTCGACACTACAGTCTTGGCAGTTAAACACTACTAGTTCTCACCTGGGAAAAGAGAAATGCTAGCCACCATGATGTTTTCAGTCATGTTTGCCTGACACCTCTGGAACTCTTACAATATTTCAACCAATTCCCATCCTATAGACAATTATCAATTAACAGAAAATTGTGCCTAAATGTCTGCTCATTTGCTCTCTTTGTTCAGTCTAAAAGGGTCAATCTTGACTTTTACACAGAGTGTCTCTGTTACCCTACTGTCCAAATCAGGACACATCTGAGAGTGAAAGTTGGTGCTATAGATAATTAAGCTGGGACAAAAGGTATAATTTGTGATGATTCAGGCAAACAGAGACCTAAGATCACCTTGGTCATTTATCTACCAAAGAAGCATTTAGCTACAAAGTCCAGGTTCTGTAGTCAGGTTGCTTCAGCTGAAACCCTGGCTCAGGCACTCTGAAGCTGTGTGTAATAGTAATAATAGCCATAACTATTTGGTAGGTATAGCTATTTGGTAGGGTGAGTGGGAAGAATAAATGAGCTATGTAAATAAAGCATTTAATTTAGTGCTGAGTACATAATAAAATCCTCAATAAATGTCAGTTTTTATTTAAATAATATATCCTTTATGTTCTTAATTGGACATGTCATTCAAAGAACTTAAAAAAAAACTGGTGAGAGCATACAATACAAACAGAATTTAGGAGACAAAACATTTTGCCACTTAGTCACACTCTCTTGAAAACAAAAAAATGCTCAGAACACATTTATCCTAACCAAATACAGGAACCAAGAAGAAGTTTTGAAGATAGAGATAAGTAGGAATCAACCTGCTCTGTTAATATCTGTATTAGGAGGGTCATGAACACATTAGGAGGGTAAGTTAACTAGGTTTCCATATTGTTTTGCTTGGATATTTGTTGGAAAGCTGTTAGGTTGTTTCAAAGGACCCATAAATCCATGTGCCTACGAGGCATTGTCTGTAGACATATATTGAACAAGGCATCAAATTAATAGCCATGCTATTAAGATTAATAAAAGGCAAATTCATTAAGAGCTTTACTGATTTATTTTTGCTGTCACACTCTTTCTCCATCAATGAATGTCAAAATTTCAACCACTATCATGAGCAGAATTCTTGGAAGTTGTCATCCAACATAGAATGCCAATATTCAAAGATTCGAGAACCATCTGATAGGAACAAGCTTGAGTAAAATGTTCCCAATGAGGGGCAGATTGTAAATATTTGGGGATTTATAGGTCATATACTCTCTGTGACAACTACCCAACCCTGCCTTTGTGATATGAAAGCAACCCAGGATGACAAATAGGAGAATGAGTTTGATGTTGCTTCGATAAAACCTTACCTGGGGACACTGACCTTTGAATTTCAGAAAATTTTCACATGTCATGAAATTCTTTTGGTTATTTTCAACCATTTAAAAATGTAAAAACAGTTCTTAGCTCACGGGCCATACAAAAACCAGCAGTGGGCTGGACTGAGCCTGTTGGCTTTAATTTGTTGAGCCCTGGACAAGAGAATTCACTCAGCCAAGCAGCTCCAACCAGGGAGAAAAGCCCTGCAGTGTACTGTGGAATTATGAAAGTAGGTTATAAGTCACAGATTAACAGGGAAGTATTGAAAGTTCCAGGGCTTACCTGGTGGCTCAGTGGTAAAGAATCTGCCTGCCAATGCAGGAGACAGGGGTTTGATTCCTGGGTTGGGGACCCTGGAGAAGGAAAATGGCATCCCACTCCAGAATTCTTGCCTCAGAAATATGGACACAGCAGCCTGGCTACAGTCCATGAGGTCACAAAAGAGTAGGACACAACTTAACAACTAAACCACAACACTGAAAGTCCCAAATGATGTACCTTAAAACTTCTCCCGGTGTTTCTTCCTTTGCCTAAAACATCTGACACTATTTTTACGTACATGTTATTCTCATGTTTCCCTACCCTTGTATACACAGATTCTAATGTCAAGTTCCATGTGTTCCCCAACATACGTTGCTTAGAAATGTAAGGCCGATTTTAATGTTCTTTCTTAATCTTAGAATTATAATAATTGGCATGAAAAGGAAATTGTACCATTTTTCTGATTTTCATGCTAGCTTTTGCATTTATGACATTTTATTCCCCTTTTAATATATCTATGAATTTACATAATACCTTATCTACAATGTCTAGTTGAGAATATCCACAAAAAGATCAGTTAAGAATTCTAACACCTTCAAGATAAGACTTTATAAATATCAAAGAACAGGAAATCTGTTCTGTAATTACTCCTGATTTAGGATGCGCAGATTGAGACATTATGTTCTCGTAAACTAACAGAATGGATCGCGTCTATTATAGGTGTACTTCTTCCTCATGAAAATGTCCTTTCCATTACTGGGAAAAGGCATTTAATGCAAAAGCAGCACTGAATAAGCAGGCTCTTGATTAGAAAAAAAGGAAACTTTCAGGATAAACTGTATCCATGGCAGTTCATCACTTGCAGTTTCTTCTTTCAATCCAGAAAAAAAACTCACATTTCCATTAAGCATTCAGTTTCTGGTGGGCCAGGGATTGCTTGAAGAAATTTTACAACTTACTTCATAATTTTCCCCACTAACTTAACTGACATTATAGACACCCGAGGCTTCTGGAAAAACTAAGCAAAAACACTGCCATCAAAACAGCTGTAAATGAGTTTTCCTTCTTAACAATCACTCTTGCTTGAGGATAAAGCCATGAGCAAGAGCTTCTCACCTTTTCTTAATTTCAGAATCCACAATAATCTGCCTCTTCTTTTGGGGAGGTGGTGGGGGGAGTTCCTCTTGGGCATGCTTTACCAGGATTTGCTCCCTCGTGGTCACCATAGTTACCGTTTCCATTACAGTTGTCTGTGTTAGTGATGGCTGAGTGGTGGTGACAGCCTGTGAAATCTGCAAGAAGTATTGAAACAGAGGTCACACATTGCTTGAAAGACTTCAGTAAAGACTGCTCGGAGTAGGGAAAGAAAATAATGAGAAACTGTTCCTGCTTGTTTGTAAATTGACCTTCAGATCAAAATAGCACCATATTGAACCCAAATCAAATTGTTTTATCTGACTTAAGTTATGTTGACTGAAATCACAAAGGCAAGTAATCTCAAAACCAGGAGAAAACTTAGTACCTCTTCAATTTATTGGTCCAGCTAAGGGAAATAAAGGGGGCAAAGGAGGAAAATTTAGGGTGTCATTCTGACATTTAATTAGACATGCTGTTTAAAGTGTTCACGATGCTAACATAAATTTTGCTAAAGTATTCCAGCACCAATTTCACTCCTGGCTCACTCGACATGTTTATTAAACAGTTCATTGAATGCATCTTTGGTTTTCATATATATGATTATTTATAGTCTGTAAATTTTGAGACAAAATTCTTTGAACTGTGTAACAAATTACTTTTTAATCAAGCACGTGATCTTTTTAAATTATAACAAATGGTTAATATCAAGTGGTGATCAGTCTAGAAATACATTTAAGCTGAATGTTCTTCAAATGCTAAAAGCATACTACTCTTGATTTAAATTAGGGATTAAGTTAAAGAATTTGAGTATCCAAAATTAGCATTCGAGTCTTCTCAGTTTAGAATCATACTAACTTTGTGTTCAGACCTTAAAAAGTTTTTGTTGTTGTTGCTGTTTTCTTTTTTCTAAGATATAGATCAAAATTCTTTGGAATAATATGTTTCATGACCCATCATGAGAGGTCATCCCTTCAGTACACAGTCATTACCAGACTGATAAATCACAAACAGTGAGACACTCTCCTGCCTTAACCACCAATTCTGCCTCACAGTCCTCCAGTTATGAGGACTAAAAAGTTATCTCTTGTGATATTAATCATGACACTTCTAGTAATCCAAATTTTTCTGAAGATCTATATCCAAGGAGACCAAAACAGGCCTGCTTTGGCTCCACTCACAGGTACTTGACATGCATGCAGCCAAGCATTTGGTTGGGGCCAAGATTAGTTTGACCGCTTTCCCTGAAATTTGTTAAGAGATAAGGAAAAGGTTTGGAGGAAAAGGCAATCAGGAAAGCCTCATAATCTTATTTTAGCTTCCAAATAGGAATTGGCATGTGGTAATGAAATCTTTTTGTCATGATGTCTTATGCAAAAATGCTTTTGACAAATGCATTTTAAAAGTGCCACCCTTTGTGCAAGCCATATTGTTACAAATGCCAAGGCCTTAGGGAGTACCATCTTAATAGTCTAAATAGTTAAAAAAAAAAAAAGACATTAAGAGATATCATGTTTCTACATGTGTCAAGCACAGATTTTATCTTCTCTAAGATCTCCATAGATACATTATTTAGAATCAATCACTGAGCTTCAAATGATAATTATATAGTCCACTGACAAGTTATGTCAAAATGAAAGCAGAGAGGAGCATGGTTTTTTTAAATGCTTGAAATAGAACCTCAAGCCTAACTGAACTCAACACGAAATGACAAGTGCATGATCAAATTAATTTTATCTTTGACCAAAAAGAACACAGAGTTTTTTGGGGGAGGGAGGGGACATGGTTAGGGGAAGATTGCTGGCCGAGCCATGTGACTTGCAGGATCTCAGCTCCTGGACTAGGGATTAAACCCTGCCCCCTGCAGTGAAACCACAGAGTCCTAACCTCTGGACCACCAGGGAAGTCCTGAACACAGAGTTTTTAAGTTGGATTTCAAGAGGATTTAATTTTTTCAAAGTAATATTTTTAAACTATGGGCAAATTGTTTCGATATACAATGATGGCTTGAAGAAAATATTGTTCCGATGGAAAATTTCTACTTTTATATGTGCAGGCACCAAAGTGCAGAGATTCCAAAAATACAAAACTTTTTTTTGTAGTTCTATCCAATGCTATGAAATATGTGTGTTGAGTATTTGGCTGTTAAATTAGTTGCTAAAATGTTATAATATCTTCTCATTGATACTTATTGTGAAATTCATCAAAGTGCCCATGGAGGGTAAAGAATAACAGCAACATCATATACTGTGAAAAGACATTTAAGAACACAGCAAAGCTTATAAGAAAGAAAAAACAATAAATTTTCATAAAATAATAGCAGACATGTATAATTGTTCTATATTATAATTATCACTGTACTGCATTTGAAACGACTGCATCATTTCTTTAGTGATGATGAAATAAGAAAACATCTGTGCACTGACCCTACAAATATAGTATAAAATTCATGATATATAACAGACTAATAATTACTTTCAAAACCTACACCAGAATAGAAAATGATTTGTTATGTACTAAATTTCCCCATGGCTTTAGTTATTGACTGTGAACACTTAATTATCTGTTAGAATCATTAAAAATATAGGCAGGAAGGGATTATGGAGGTCACTGAGTATAACCTCCTCTTTACTACAGGATTCACTACTTCCAGAAACAGACAACTCCTTCCTGAGTATGGCAGCTAATTTTCCCATTGGCAAAGATCTTTACACCTAGTGGAAGCCTGCATTATTTTGACTTCATTAATTTAAAGTTTGCTTTGGGAATTCCCTGGATGTCCAATGGTTAGCACTCTGTGCTTCTACTATAGGAGGCACAGGTTCCATCCCTGGTTGGTTGCAGCCTAAAAAGTAAATGAATAACAATACAATAATAAAATAAAATTTGTTTTGATCCCTGAACCATCACAGAGTAAGGTGAGTATTGTTTCTACCTGACAATCTTAAAGTTCTGAGGTTTCATAACCATGACTCTGATAAATCTTATTTACAAGCTCTGTAATACCGGACACTTTCTAGAACTAGATTTAATCTGACTGGTGCTCCAAAACCTAGATTTTCTAGCTTTGGACATAACATTCCATTAAAGCAATCTAAAATTGCAGAAGTTATTCATTACCTTAGTCACAATATTTATATCAGTATTATATCAGATATATAAGTATATCACTACAGGACATCCAGAAATGAATACAATGGAATCTCTATTTTTACATATCTCACAATATAGTAGTGAAGGTGACAACCACACCAATAACTATGAAATAAGGTGAGTTCCATATGAAAAATACAGGTATGCAAAATAATTGCAAGCAAATCTTCATGAAAACAAGATATGTTTGTTTTTAAATATTATCCCCTTGATCTATCAGTTAACTAGCTACTAAAAATGGAAAAGAATTAGTTTAGAATTATTTGTCTTTAGGTTTGGAAGCTATTTCCTTTTACAGTGATTTAAAGTGGAGGTCCCTAAGTCAGGCTCCACAATTTTCAAACACCAGATTCACAGTTCACAATCTGTAACATTTGAGGCAGGCTGGTAATACTTTCAGAGTTTTGATTTTTTCTTCTTCATATGTAAAATATGAATAGGAATATATTTCTCACAAGGGTATTGCAAACAAGACCTGCATCATGGGTGTACAACTCATGGAGTCACCCAGGCCCCCTCACTCAAAAGGATTTCATGCTTGGTTTCATGCTCTGCCGTCATCCTCTTGAAATTCTTAACAATTTTTGGAAAGAACCCCTGTATATTCATTCTGCACTGAACCTCCTCAAATACATAGCCCATCCTGGTCACAAGAATTCAACCATGTAATGTTTGAACCCAGTAAGTACTCTCTGGATACACATTGTAATACCCACTAAAAACTTCAGAGAAAATTCAGGAATTTTTCTATACTGACCCTTATTACTCATGAAGAGATATATATTAATTTCCAAATTTTACACTTTTCCCATCATGAGAAAAATTAGAAGAGCACATGCTCAGTATCTTGATCGTTATAGGGTGTATATCTTCTTGCAATAAGGTTGTATAATTTGAGTAGGTCTGGAAAATGCATACTATTTTCAAACAATGAAAATCTTTCTTTACATTTTCTCTTCCATTTGTTTAAAAACGCACATTGTGAAAGGAACTATATGTACATTCAAGCATATTTCAAAAATATAAAAGAGCATGTAATAAAAGGAAATATCTATTTCCCACCACTATGGCCAGTTACTTATGGGCAACTAGCTGTACTTACCACCTGTTCTTACATTTTAAATGAACTTTGTGCTGTTATCATTCTTTCAGTTTGGCTTGTATTCTTTTTTTTTCCACCTCCAGTCTCTCAATGCTCTTTTGGTTTCTGGCTTGTATTCTTAATTGCACCTTTTAATTGTCCATTTAATTATTTAAATAGTCTTGACTTTGTAAGTTCTTTGAGGTTAGAGACTTTTACTGGCATTGTGAGATACTATTTAAACCTTTTTTTAAAATTTACTAAAAGAGATTCAATGTATCAAAGTCAGTTACCTCATTTATTATCATTTTTATTGGTATTAAAATACTTGTAATAAAAGCTACCAGTTACAGAGCTCTCTGCATGTTTCGGGCATTATGCTACGTGTTTACTTACTTAAGCAGTAAAGGCTTAATAAGTGGTAGCTGTCATTACCTCACAATGGCCCTAAGAACAAGTAGTAAGATTATTTCCATTTTATAGATTAGAAGTAAAAATTTCAGGCAGATTCAACTTGCAAATGGCACAGCTGAGCTATAAACCCTAGTTCGATTGTTCCTTAATCCAACTCTTAGTAGCTGTGATCACTTGCTGCCACCCCTGTTCAAATGTCTGAATGGTGACTTTAACAGGTGTAATTGGGTGTGTTGTTTGTGTACACACACACACACATATATATATACAAAGTCACAGGAAGACAGAAGGTATACACAATGGCATATGACAATCTTAAATCCCTTTAGTTCTTGATAAACTATAATAATAATAATAATAATAATAATAATAAAGTCTGTGCAAAACCAATCAAATGAAAAAAATATCTGATATTTTTCAAAAGGTACAAGCAGATTGACAAGCGTGGATTGAAGTTTCTGGTTGTGTTGTTTATACGTACCCAACTTTAGAGTGATGACCTTTAATGGG